CAAGGAGGGATGGATGCACCCCAAAAATCACCTCTGAACCCACCCCATTGCCAGCCAGGGCTGTGCCTCCTCTTCCTCTGTCCTTCACCCTCCCCTAAGTACATCAGCAATACAATAGCCACAAGGGCTCCCAGAGCCTCCCCAAACCCCAGCAGCCATATCCATTGTGGGAAATCCTGTCTCTGCTCCTTCCATGAGACCCCACAGCAACCCCAGCACCTGGGGAGGACACCCACCCCCTGGTCCCTGCCCCATGGGCAGGGAGGAGCCCATCAGCCCGGCCAGGGGCTGTCACCCATGTGGTCCCCAGCTGCTTGGAAACCTTCTCCTGGCTCCGGGCCACAAGTACAGATTTTTATAATTATTAGCCTTGGTAATTTACCGTAAAATATTTATTCTGGCTCATTCCGAGGCTTTGGATTTGTGTTGGGTCTGGATGGCTTTGGGGAGGCACACGGCCACGTGGGGCTGGATGCTCCGCTCCCATCCTGTATAAATATCCATGTGGATGTGTGTGGCCCAGGGAGGAGACCCCAACAGCAGCTCACTGCGATGCTTCTCTCCCCCTTCCCACTGTAAGTCCCCCATGAAGACCTCCAGACGCCCATGGACTGCACCCACCTTTGCGCCATGGGGCTCCTTTCCATCCCACCCTGGCCGATGTGACCCCATGTTGGTACCGGAGTGGTCCCTGAGGATAACCTGCTCATCCATCTGGGGGTGCAGAGCTGGGACCCCTCTAGAACATCCTTTGCAGCTCTGGCAGCAATACCACTGCACTCTCCATCTCCTCACCAGAGCCAGTCGCTGTGGATCCATGTCAAGGAGGAGCCCAGAACTGCTCTCCCAGTGCTGCCAATACAAGGGGGCAGCTGCTGTCCCCCCAATGCCAGGCTGAGAATGGACCATAGCAGGGGTAGGAGGTGCTGGGGCTGTGCAGACTGCAGTAAGGGGTGGTCCCTTATTGCTAGGGGTCCCCTAACACCCCTCTTTGTGATAGGGCTGAGTGGGAGCCAGAGGGTTTTGGGAACTCTCTGCAAAGTCAGAGCATCTTCCCAGTGTCCCTGGGGCTGTGTGCTGCAGGGCAGCGTGTGTGTGCATGGCAATGGCACTGCACATGGACAGGACCAGCTCATCCCCTCTCTGCTGCAGGACACGGGGTAGGGGAGGATGGAGGCAATGGAAGGGATAGGAGAGTGAAAGCATCCCGGGTGCGGGTGGGTGGATGGAGGTGATGTGGAAGGACAAGGAGCCAGAGGGTCCCGGCGATGTCTGCGTGCTGGGTGGTCTGCAGGGCTCGTGCTGGACTGCAGGGAAGGGCTGGGAAGATGGGGGCTGAGCCCCCCCATGCAATGGGGGAAGACGTCCCCGAGCACCCTCCTCTGCCTGTCCCAGTGCTGGGGTCCACGTCACAGCCCCCCAAGCCCCAGTGGCCCCGGCACCAGCGGCCCCACGATGCGCAGGGAGGGACCAGCGGCGAAACTCAACCCAGATGTGCAGCAGCAGGAAGCCTCTGCACCGAGAGCTGGAAAGCCCCTCCAGCAGCCCTGGATCCCGAGTTCCTCCCCTCTCTGCTCCTCCAGCGCCCTGCAAAGGAGCCACAAGCGTTGTCCCAGGGAGGGATGAGGACAATGGCTCCCTAGGGATGCTCCAGCAGCTCTTTGGTCTCTGCCTGGGGTCAGTGGGCAGGGGAAAGGTGAGCAGCAACCTGAAAGCAAGCTTTGCACCAGCAAACAGTCAACGCTGAGTCCCTGCAGGGCTTAAAAAGAGGAGGAAAAGTATTAAAATGGTTGAAAACTATATATTATGTGGGCCGAGTTACACCTCCACAGCAGTGCCAGCCCCTCGGTGGCGGGAATGTGCTGGTACCAGCATGATTCTTATTGCTGCCTGAGCCCAGAGCAGTTATATCTGCATTTACACAGTCTGAGGAATGAAAAGCTGCCAATGGAGTTAGAACCCCTCACAGCTGGGACACCCTCAGCACCCAGAGCCCTGTTTAACACCTGCCCTTGCTTTTCTTCAGGGCTCAGCATCACCTCCCAGTCCTTCCTCATCCCAAAGCAGCCCTGAGCCTCTGACCTGGCCCCGCTCCTCCTGCCTCCCGCCTGGCCTCTGCATTATTAAACCAGACCCACCTTATCAGCCCCTATCTTTTTCCACTGCTGCTGCAGCTCTGCCAGCCGGCAGCACTTGCATTAGGAGGCAGAACACGTTGGGACACCCCTTCAGTGCTGACACTGACGGGTTTGGCTTTGAGAAGGCCACTAAGCAATAGGTCCCTAGGGAGTCCTGTTCCTTGGGGAGCTGGAGCTGCCCCCCCCCATTTCATCCCCCTGCAGCCCCTCTGCAGAGAAACCTGCTGCTTCCGTGCCTGGAGACCCCCGGGAAGCAGCTCTGAGCTGCTCCAACACATGGTTTTAATAATAAACAGCGCGGGAAGGGACAAAGGCATCTTGTGGGAGGGCAGTGGGAAGCAGGGGGGCAGGAGGAGGTGATAGGTGGGGAGAGAGGGGGGACATGGGCTCGATGAGGGGGATGCTAAAGGGGAGCATCAGCCCAGGAGCTGGAGGAGTCCCTGAGGTTACAGCCCCACGCTGCCCATCACCACATCTCTCTAAAGGAATCCCACTCCAGAACTGGGTTAACTGCAGCCACCGGAAAGCCAGGATTAGTGGAAATTGGTTATAAGATGGTTTTCCCGGATGGAAGAAACATATTGTTGTCATCTGTCCTTTGACATTTCGAGCCTATTTTACATCTCCTGCGATTTCTGGTTCAGGCTGTGACATTTCAATGGGTGATTGGTATTTACAGCGGTAGGCGTCATAAATATCTTGTATATAAATGTCTTCTAACGTATAGAAAACATTCTATACATTTGTAGCTTCAGAAACAAGAGCTATAAATCTTTACTGGAAAACACACAATGTCTACAAAAAGATCTCTTTGCAATCCAGGGGCAGATGAACACACAATAAAAACGCATTGGCGTGTTTCAGACGCCAGAATCCAGCATTGCTTTCTGCCAAGTGTAAACATGTCACTTCCAAATCACAGGAGGCATTAGAAGAAATACTCTGCATGGCTCTCATTCAAGGGCTTGGTGACTTGCATCATCCACTGCCCCGCCTGGGCATTGTCCCTGCTCTGCTCACTGGTCCCACCACAAGGATGCAGCAAGTGCCAGGGCTGAGAGCCAAGGTCACGTCCCAGCAGCTCAGGGGCATGCAAAGGGACACGTCCCTTTGGCGGGGCTGGCACGGCCACTGTCCCCTCCCAGTGCACAGCACAGGGTCTCAAGAGGCTTTTGGTGGCCCAAAACCTGGCTTTCCATGAGGGTCACATCAATGCAACAGCCGCCACAGCTCCACCAGCAGCACCACTGCCACATCCCCATCGGTACGGGTCCCTTCGTGTCACAGCAGCACGCACTTCCATGACAGTATCCTCCGGAGGAGGTCCCCATCATGGAGGAAAGGGCTGTGGAAGAAGACAAAGCCATTTTGCTTCCACAATCCTACTGCAGGGTGTAATATCTGTGTCATCTGGTTTTAACCTGCAGCATCTGGCCCAGGGATGTCTTCCTCTGGGAGCTCCGGCATTTATAGGGTGCAAACCCACCCTGGCTTCTCCCTGTGAGGGCAGTTTCCATGGCCCTTCCTGGCTCCCTCATTAGCTTTGCAGGGCTGAGGTCTTGGACAGGTTTGTGCTTGCCAGGCTCGGCCCCTTTCAGGTACCTCTTTGGAGGAGCAGAACTGGGAGGTGGTTCCATGGTGGGCAGGGTCACAGTGAGATTTCTCCAACACAAACCCAGGGTACAGACATCTTTTATTTCCAATAATTCTGATGTCATGGAACCACAGACTGGTTTGGGTTGAAGGGACCTTACAGCTCATCCAGCTCCAACCCCCTGCCATGGCAGGGACACCTTCCACTAGAGCAGCTTGTTCCAAGCCCCTGTGTCCAACTTGGCCTTGAACACTGCAGGGATGGGGCAGCCACAGCTTCTCTGGGCACCCTGTGCCAGCACCTCAGCACCTTTATAGTGAAGAATGTTTTCCTAATGTCTAATCTAAATCTTTCATCACAAAGAGATTCCCCCTTGCCCTGTCCCCCTTTCTACCAGATGTCATTGCAAAGTTTGATTTAAACGTTGAGCTTCAGCAGGCTGTGAACACAGCACAGAGCACATGGAGGAGGAACCCATCGTACCCACAGCTCTCCTCATCCTCCCAGGCGTTTTGAGGCCATCACAAGGGCTGAACTATCCTCCTTGCCCTCTTAATTAATTAACTCAGGGCCAAGCTGGGCAGCAGCTGGTCCCACCTGGGGCACAGCACTGTGGCTGGATGGGGATGATGGGGAAGGCATCCTGGGTTTGGGAACTGAGGGTAACGGGCACAGGGTGCGTGGCCTGGCTTTGCTGCAGCACCGTGTCCAGGCAGGCAGAGCACGCGGGCAGGCAGCTCCACAGCTCTCCCCTCGCAGCCCCCTCCCGTCCATCCGGTGGCTCCCGCGGCGCTGCACATCATTTGTCACTCCGACAGGTCCAGACAAACCCGGCTGGGATTAATTAGGCTCCATCTTCGTTTCCTGCAGCACTGAGCAGGGGCCGGGCTGTGGGAGCCAGCGCATGGGCAGGCTCCAGCAGGCAGGGACTGGTGTATGGGGCAGGGGGGGAGAAGGCAAGCAAGGGTCCCCTTGGACCCCTCAAATCCCTGCCCCAGTGCTAACACAGCCGGTGGTAGCACACCAGCATGCTAACACATGCGGGATGCTGTCCTGGCTGGATGCAGGCCCCATCCCAGGAACACGAGGCTATGGGAAGCTGTGCAACATGGCCAGATTCAGGACTAGACAGCTGCTGCCACCTCGTGCATGGAGGGCTGCCCCTTCCTCCCCAGATATCCCCCCAAAATGGGCCCCAAAGGCAGATGGGATCCCCAGGGGGAGGATGTGATCATGCCAGCGAAGAGAAACAGGCAACAATCAGCAAGTAAAACCAGAGCCCCCCCATTTATTAGCAGTTGGTTCAACAGGACCTTCCACCAGCACCTGGGAGCTTCTCCCAGTACAACCCCACGGAGGACAGAGGGGATGCAGCCCCCCAATGGCTCCATGTATGGCTGCAGGGGCTCCTGCAGGAATAAGACAGTGGAAACCCTCCCCTGCCTGTGGGACCCCTCTCACCGAGGGTGAAACATCATGTTCCTCCTGCTCCGGAGGCAAGGGCAGCATCCTGGGTACCGCATCCACCTCCAGCAGCAGCCACTGCCACCCTGCATCCCTCCATCCAAGGGGGAATTTGGGTGCTTACCCCAGTAAACCTGTGATGGCTCAGTCTCATTTGCCATCCCCAGCAGCAAACCCCAGGGGACAGGACACAGGGATGCAGCTCTGTACGGCACCACCACCATAAAGCCGCATCTCCAGCTGGGAATCCATCCCCTGTATCTGCACTGACCTTTGTCCAACGTCACGTGTAACAACCAAAAAGACCACACGAACCCCTCAGGGCTTCGGTACAAATTCTGGCACTGAAGAAAAACAACCCCCTGCAAAATGAGAACCAAACGACCCCCCCCCCCCCCCCAAACATTATTAAAATACTTTTTGTTTTTAATATTCAAGAGGTTTGAAGTTCTCAGCATCCTTCCAACTGCCGTTATCCCAACGTCCGCCCTGTCCCCAAGATCCAGCTCTCCTCTGTGCCAGGGGACGTTGGGCACCGCTTGGCTTTACCACAGGAAACACCACGAGTGAACAAGATTGATGGTGGGCTGCGGGGAACAGGAGCACACTGGGACCTTCAACCTGGGACCTACACACTGGGACCAGCACACCCGGACCAGCCTCCTGCTCCGCCACAGTCCCATCACGCTGCCCATGGAGGGAGAACAAGAGGCTGAGGAGCTTGAAAACAAATAGAGATGATGAAAGAATTCATGCCTGAACCTTTCATAGAAAAATCCACTTTTCTATGTAGATGTTGGGGAATCCAGTAAACTCTCCTGTTTTGTGCAGTGGGGCTGGTGGCAGGAGCGGCTTTGGGTCCCTCTGCGCTTTGGGTCTCCACCAGCTCATTCTTCTGCTCCAGCTCAGCAAAGTCACCTCAGCATGCCCAGAGTGGCTCCTCCACCCTTGGACCAGGAGGTGAGGGACTGCTCTTTGTGCCCTGAGGCCCAGGGAGTTGAAGCCCATTTTGGGCTGAGAAAAGGGGAATTTGTGCCACTTCCCCATGTCAGAGTAGGGCAGGAAGGGACCTCACCGATAGGTCCAGGAATTAAAAGGGGAAAATAAAATGAAATAGAAAGGGGTATGGGGTAGGTGGCAGCACAGCGACTGCAGTCGGGCTGCCTTGGGCAGCCTCCAGTGCAGCCTTCTCCTCCTGGGGTCCCCTCCAAGGCCGGGTATTGCTGAGGAAGGTCCCGCCGGGTGCAGGGCTCCATCCCCACTCAGGTATCGCTGGGTCATGGTGGGCAGCAGCTACCTGGTGCTCTGCAGCTCCTCCCGTAGCCAGGTGGGCAGCGTCTGCCCCATCTTGTACAGGAGCTTGGAGAGCTCTATGTTATGGTCCCTGTAATAGTCCCGCAGGAAGGCGCGTGACTGCAATGGGAGAACACAGAGGAGGGTCAGGGGACCAGCTTGGGGCCAGCATGGCCCCCTGGTCCTGCTTGGGACCATCCCATGAGGCCTTCTGCATACTCACATCCGAATCCATCTCGGGGTACTTCCTCCCTTTGCTCTTCCCCAAGCATTTCGTTTTCCCTCCATCCAGAAGCTGACACCAGAATCCTTTCTTTGGATCAAACCTGTGAAGCGAGAGCTCTGCCTCACACCTCTTGCCCCACACACTTTCCACAGCATTGCAACAAGCCCCTCTGCTTCCCAAGCCTCCACAGGAGCACTTCTCCACCTCATTTAAACCCACATCCGAGCTAACATCTCATTATTGACCCCCTGGTACAGCAGGTTCCCTGTGCAGCTGCACAGTAAGCAGCCCACCAAGGTTCATTCATCGCCGCATTGCCCCACTGAGGGAGCACAGGGTCCTACATAGGTTTAGTTACTATTTCCTGTGGCACTTTCAGCCCTGGATGCCCTCAGAGCCCCAGGGCTGGAGGCTGCACCAGGGGCAAGGAGCAGCTCGGGGAAGGACTCACGCCAGGGTCTTGTGATAATCGATGAAGTTGGTCACACCGAGGAATTTCTGGACCGTCTCCATCACTCTGGCAGGCTCCGTTCGGAGCAGCTTGCCGTCCAGGACCAGGATCTGCAAGGAGCAAGGCACAGCAGTGAGGTGCTGCTGGCTCCCAGCCCTACTCCCCTGGGGCACAACACCACCTCCACTGCACCTTTTGCCATCTCAAAGCCAAACCGGCCACCAGCCTGTGCAGGGTCCCCTTTTGGATGCTAATGTGCTCTGGTGTTCACTTACACTGGCTGTTGAAAATGAAATGCAAACAAAAGCCAGGGCCAGGATCCATCCAGGACATCAGAGCTTCAGCTCAGGGCTGCCCAACCCGCAGCCAGCCAGGATTGCATTACAGCAATTACGCCAGCAGCAGCCAACTAATAGACTTTATAAGGTTAAGTGACAGTGGAAAAATCATTCGGGGACTGAGCCTGCACAGTGCCAGCAGCACTGCAGTGAGCGGGTCACAGCAGGGCTGGCATCCAGCACCCGTTTCCCCTGCAGACAGCTCAACCACGGGCAGCTCTGCTGCTATTTTTGTCCCCTGATGCTGTGGTGACACCAGACAGGGCAGCCCCAGGGGAGTCTGTGGCCAAGAGTGGCGGGTGAATGGGGGGTGACCCTGCAGAGCCACCCACAGCCATTCACCCCGGGGCTCATTTTCAACCCTGCTTTGGCAGAGGACCAGCACAAGGACATCTTTGGGCATCATCCATCACCACCCTCACACTACAAGGGCTTCCTTGTGCAGTATCTCCCCTCTGCTCCTTCTCCAAGTACTTTTACCCTCCCTCCCTGTGTTTTTTAGTGTATAAGAAAAGCAGCTCCCATGGGAGCACCCTCACAGCTGATTTTGGACCCAAGCTCCCTTTCTCCCACATCCTTGCTTGGTGAGGGGTGCTCCCCAGTGTGCTGCCACTGTAGGAGTGGGTGCTCCCATCCGTACCTGGTTGGCATGGTAGCTGTTGAGCCAGCGCTCGATGTGTGTGGCGTACCAGCCCGGCACCAGGCAGCGGTTCTGCAGGGTCCGGAGCTTCGGAGCAGCCTCAGGTCCTGCTGTGATCACCTCGTGGAAGGTGTATTTCAGGGCAACCGGGTCATCGTGAGCTCGCTGGTGCTGTCAGGCAGGAGCAAGGCAGGTTTGTTCCTGGGGCAACCCAAATCCTGGGCTGCCCGTGAGGCACTGTGTGTCCCAGGCCACCGTGCTATGGTGTTCAACCAGAAAATTCCCCCCTCCCAAACCAAGCTGAGAGAATCCCCTTGCCCACCACCCCATGGGGCTGCCCACAGTGGAGGAGAGGCAGTGGTGGGCAGCTCACCTGATACCAGGAGTAGGCTCGATCTGCAGGGTTGATGAGGATGGTGATGACTTTGGCCTTGGAGAGCAGGGCGGCAGCTCGCCGGGGAGCCACTTCTGAGTCAAAGTAGTTGGCACTTTTCTCAAAGTAGAAGTCAGAGGTGGTGTTGGAGGGGATGGGGAAGAACTCCATGTACCTGGAGAGGCACAGTGTGAGGCGGGCGGACAGGCACCACAAGATGCCCCAGAACCCCCCTCGCAGGTGATATCTCAAACACTCGGTACCAAGCAGAGTCCCCCCAGGTCTGACACATTGCCTGGGGCTCCACAATCCCCTCCAGGCATTCCAGAGGGCCAGGCCTCACAAGATTCTCCATGCAGACCCCAAAACCAGGAGATAACATACACACAGAAGCCTGGCTTCTGCCAAGGGCAATTCTGAGTCGTGACAAGCAGCCTTTGCCTTACAGACAACACCTCGGGGACGAACCATGTGATGGCCTGAAGGCACAGGGCAGAGCCCATGTGGGATTCATCCCACCCTGCAGCACCCAGAGCTGCCAAAAGCCAAGCAGTTACAAGGCTGATGGGAAACCCCACAGCACCACTGCTCCTGTTCCCAAAGGAACTGGTGCTCCCAGCTCAGCTCCCACAGTGTGGAGACCTACCAATCGATGCCCTTGTGATAGTTGTGTCCGTTGAAGAACTGTATCTCCTCGAAGGTCTCTGAGCTGGGGTAGTTGCTGCTCAGGTCTGGGTGCATCCCCAAGAAGAGATAAAGGGCAGTTGTTCCTTTGGACAGACAAAGCAAGAGCTGACTTGGGACAAACCTCCCTCTGAGTTCTGCTGCACGGCAGAAGGGCTGAGAGGCTCTTTGGGGGTGTGAAGAACCTGGCAATCCCCCTGGCATGCCCATGGCACCAAGGTGAAGGGAAGTACCTGTTTTTTGAGGCCCAATGATGAGGAGCTTTGGGAACCGGTCACAGGTCTTTTCTTTGGACCAAATGTCTTTGTGCCGTTTGTCTTCACAGGGATCCTGAAATACAGGAGGGAAGATTAGAGACAGGGCAGCCTGGATGGGACCACACACCACTGCTCAGCCCCCTCCAGCCCCAACAGACACACAGGGAGGCCACACTGCTCAGCAGGCAGGGAAAAGACCATGCTTATCTCCACATCTATGGAGCAAACTCCTTCCTGGCACCACCCCCAGAGCCACAGAGACATTTCAAAGCGCTGCCACCCAGAGGATCAGAGAGAAACCCACGCTGGAAGGGACCTGAGGAGGTCATTGACTCCAACCTCCTGCCCCAACCAGGGCCAGATATACCCTATTTCCCTCTCCCAGCACAATAAACGTGGCTGCTCTCCCCATTCCAGGCATGGGGGGTACCTGCCACAGTGGGTCCTTCTCCTCAGAGAAGATCTGGAAGTACTTCTGTGCCAGCTGCACCGGTGGCAACGTCTGCAGCTTCAGGTTGGTCCAGGAGTTGAGGAAGCGGACCAGGTGCTTGAAGGTGTACAAGCCCAGACGGTCGTTGCCGTAATTGGACAGATGGGTCATGAAGATGCTGATCTGAAGCAGAGAGGATGGAGCAGGGGTTAGTGGGACCTCAACCAGCAGCCGTCCCATGCACTGGCTCCCACCCTGGATGAGGACATTGGGGACATCGCCTACAGTCTGTCCCTGTTCAGTACTCACGGGGTTGAGGAGCACGGTCAGGAACAGTTCACCCCCGTTGATGATCTTGTCCAGTTCACTGGAACCACCAGGGTATTCGTTGTAGAAGATGGTGTGTGTGAAGAGGCCGCAGGTTTGCCGGGGGAGTACCTGGGCAGGAGAAAGATACGGATGGAGTAGGTGGTGAATTGGCCACACTGCCTCCTCTGGGCAGCCAGGGCTGGGTCCCTTTCTCCTTCTAAACAAAAAGGGGGTCCTTAACCCCTCAGGGGTCAGGACCAGCTCTACTGTCCCTCAGCACCCTCAACTTAAATCCTGCTACCCACAAGGGATGAAGGTGAACAGACGGAGGAGCCAAGAACTGTCCTTATGTAAGGTTCCCCCATGCAGGATGAGCAGAGGGCACAGCCTCCTCAAATCAAAGCTGCCCAAAACCCACCTACTGAGGTTCTGGGTTTTGGTGGCGGAGGCAAGAAGAGAGAAGATGGAGCCTGGCCACCTACCATGATGCCATTGTGGATGAAGCCACGGCGATAGCGAGCGGGTTTCAGGTGGGGGTACTCCTCCGTGCTTGTCACTTTGATTGACCAAACCTGCTTCCAAGCTTCGTACAACTGCACGTGGACGGGGTACACACCTGAATGGTGGGGGGCCACGGCGTATCCCATGTCAGTGGGGATGCCATGCTCCTGTAGAGAAGACAGCAGGGAGTGGGTGACTGTGGAGACCCCAAAACCACAAGGTCCCAAACCAACCTCTCCCCAAGGGACTGCCCATTCCCAACTATTTGTGCCTCTGGGGAGCAACCAGGACAAGGCTGTGTCCACCCATCCTCTCCTAACCAGGGCTGTCTCCTTGAAAGGCAGCCCAGAAGCAGGCATGCTGGGTGGTCACTTGCTTGTCTGCTTCATGTGGACCATCCTCATCCCTGCCATTTCTGCTGTCCACAACACCACAACAGCAACAAAGCTCTTCTGCAGAGCATGAGGAGATATATCTACATAGGACTGTAAATTGGTTTATACCAGTCTGCTTCTATTGTTTATAAAGCAGCCTAGAAATTGAGCTGGAAAACTGCCCATCCCAAGTAAGGGTGGTCTGGTCTCCCTCATATTAAGCACCTTTAATTATCAGGCAATGATTTCAAGTTAGCCTGAAGATCCCTCACTTAGGCCATGAATCTGGCTCTACTTGTTTGGGTTCAAGACAGCTGTGAGCAAACCATTCGATCACAGCATGATCTGGTCTCAGTTCTGACTTTATTAGGACCACAAAGGGGATAGTCCAAAAGGACGGACAACCCCTTACCAAGCTGAAGGTCAAAGCCTGTCTTTATGAACCAAACGTAACTCCAACAGCTCGGCCTGCAGAGGGAGTTTCCATCAGCCTGAGCTTCCTGGCACACAGCCACTGCTCCAGGATCCCACATCATTGCCCAGCATTGAACAGCACTGGGCTGAGCACCCAACCCGCATCCCACTGGATTGGAGCTCTGCATCCCCCATGGAGTTGGCCAGGGAGGCATGGCTGCAACGCACAAGGGATACCTCCCTCTGAACAGACACGAGAGCAGCTCACTGCCACAGCAGCAAGTTGGCTGCTGCAGATAAATCCTTTTGCTCCAGGTACTAGTGTCTAAATGGATTTACCCACCCAGCTGTAACGCGGGGGACAAGACTTAACATCACCAGGTCCCTAAGCAGAGACTGTCCCCCAGGTCACCTCTTCACCCCACTTCTCCATCCTCCCCCCACCATAAGCAACCCCACCAACAGCATCTTACTCACGACAGCGAATTTCTTGTTTAAGGTCATCTGCTCGGCGAGCACCGACTGGTTGTGGAAGAGGTGAGGCTGCATGTGGCTCCACATGTGGGGGAACCACCAGAACTCCCTCACGTAGGACAGCAGCAGGTCATCACCTTCATCCTCAGCATCGGTACCTGTGGGCATGACACCCACCATCACCAGCAGGCACACAGAGCCCCTCTTGGTGACCAGCTGATGGGGTGCAGCAGGGTGGGATGCCCAAGGACACCCCTGCAGCCCCAACATCAGCCTGAGCACCGGTTTGTGCCTCAACTCGCAAAGCAACGCCCTCACCCTCCTTACCCGTGTGGAAGAATTTCCCTGAGTATCCCAGGTTGAAGGTGAAGTTCGGGATGTGGGTGCGCAGCTCATTCTGTGTGTCGAACAGTGCCTGGGAGAGGGGGAGAGAAAGCAAAATGTCCTCAGGATGTGGCCACTGGGATGACTGCTATGCCAGGGTGAGGAACCATGTCCCAGAAAGCTTCACAGAAGGAGAAGGGATGCTCTGGGAGCAGGAAAGCTCATCCCTGGAATATTCTGGAGCAGGCACAAGCACCCATCCCTCCCCTGCCCACCCAGCCAGGACATCACATCCACACCTTGACATCTTCCACCTTCATGCGCGTGCCCTCCTTGCCCACAAAGATATCATCGATGTCCACCAGGATGTAGCGGTCGAGGGGCAGGGAGAGCCTCTTGCCCGTCAGGAAGGAGACAGAGTCCACAAAAACCAGCTTGTGCAGCCAGAAGTTGAGGTTGTTGCCAAAAAGCACCCTCTGGATCCCATCGTGGAGGCCCAGGTCCTGCATCACGGTGGTATGCAGCGCTGCATCCACGCTCATGTGTGGGATGGACTCGGCTGACTTGGTCTTGGCCAGGAGGACAGGCTCGTAGGTGGAGTGGTTGGACTGGAAGACGGTCCAGTCCTCCCCGGGGAGCACACCCTTCTCAACCTCACTGGGGCGCGTGATGTACAGCAGGGGAGACTTGGGGTTGATGCTGCAGTCCTTCAGCGCCAGGTTGGAGTGGAGGAAGAGGGGGAAGCCCTTCAGCTGGGCACTCAGCAGGCTGTTCTCGTTGGCCTGCATGGGGGAGACAGGAGCTAGAGGAGGTGGGATACTGGGGACGAGTGCCCAGACTGGCTGTGCAGGCAAGGGCTCACTGGGGGCACCGACCATGGCAAGGGGGGAGGCAGCTGGGAAATGGGATGCTAAAAAGCGATGGAATGATCCCAGAGGTGTGTTTTTACCCCCAAAACACGCAGGGGCTGCACAGCCCTTCCACAGGGAGAGGGCTATGATAGTGCCCTCTACTAGAAGCCTGTGCCCATGCCAGGCTGTGAGCTGGCTCCACACCATCTCAAGCTGCTTGCAGACAGCAAGGGGAGGGCAAAGTCTTTACAGGGACCCCACAGGCCCCCTGGTTTATGCCTATCTTGGCCGCGGGGTCTCAGCTCACCCCGTGCACCCCCTTACCTTGAAGAAGCCGATGATGCCCACGCCATACTCTACACAGTACTTGTCCAGCAGCTCCCGGTTCCAGGCGTCCAGGTTGACGTACTTGAGGATGTTCTCATAGATGATGAGCGCAAAGCGTCCCCGGTCCTTGTCGGTCAGCGTGGGCATGTCCCCCTTCCCCGGGGCGATCTCTGTCCTGTATTTGAAGCGACTCGACTCCAGAATGGCCACGATCTCCTGACCAAGCTGTGAGTAGAGGCTCTCCACAAAGACCAGCACCAAGGGGTCCGTGCGGGAGGAATCAGCCACCTTGAGGGTCTTCAGTGGCAGCAAGCGGGAAGGGGCCACCTTGGGCTCATCACAGTCCGGCCCCACCACATCCCCAGAGGGCTCCAAGCCCCTTTTCCACCCATATAAATAATAAGCAGAGACGAAAACACTGAGCAGGCAGAAGGCAAAGAGCAGGAGCAACACCACCTGCGGGGAGAGCTGCCAGACACCGCGCCGGGCCCTGGCCAGCACAGTCATCCTTGCATCCGCGGGGTGAGGTGGGGTCCCTCTCCCTGCTCACCCCCTCCCCTTGTGAGTGCCGGGGAGGGGAAGAAGCAACGAGCAATGCACTAAAGAACAGGTAAAGTCAAACTGGGTACTCCTAATAAATTAAACCACTAGCGGACCGCTCGGGCAGGCTCTCTTCCCTCCAGCTTTGGCGTCCCTCGCTGCCCGATTCATGTCACCATGGCAGATGCACCCAGAGTCCCCTTGCCGAGCCGAAATCCCCGTGGTGGTGGCAGTGGTTGCAGCAGCAGCACCATGGCCGCAGTGGCACTAAGGGGCGGCGGGCGGCCTCGGCGCAGGTTGCGGCAGGCATGGGGACATGGTGGCTCCCTGCGGCGTTCCGGTGCCCTGGCTCCACGCAGCACTCTGCAAGAGAGAGGTGGGATGAGCAGGGATGGATGGTGCTGGTACCAATGGCAATGCTTTTACTGGCAGATCTCTTGCTGTGCGCCAGGGCTTGCTGAGAGGGTGCTGTGAGCTCCTGGCGGTGGCATGAGCACAGCAGCACACATGTGCATGGGATCCTGGCTGTGGTGTGAGCCTGGAGCACAGCAGCATCACCAGGGTGCTACGGAGAGGAGCCCCCATCACACGAAGCAGGTGGAAAAGCAGCCTCACTCCTCCTGTTGGCACAGTGTGGTGAGGAGAACAGGGGTGAGAGGGGTCTGAGCCCCATCTCCCTACACAAGGGCAGGGAGGGACACAGGCAGACAGCCAGCATGAGGCCGAGCCAGGAGCCACCAGCCAAGGTCACTGAGATGGGCACATGGGAGCAGCCACGTGGAGCCAAAGGGACATTGGGAATATTTCCTTTTCCCTGTGAAAAGCCCATTTCAAAAAAGAAAACAAACAAGCAAACAAAAAAGGATTGGGCACTACTTGCTGAGGGTGAAGTCACCCAGGGCACACACACTGATGGCAGCCACTGTGCTTAAGGAAGAAGTGTTGGTACAGTGGCTCGTCCCCAAACGCATCACCAGTGCTGGGGACAAGGGCAGGAGCCCCTGTTCCTCCCCAGGGAGAGCTCTCTGTGCCCCACTGCACCGTGGCTGAGCACCCACCCCACAGACACCAGCCAGGTACACAACGGGATTAAACGTGGCGTGCTGAGCGGTACTGTGGATTACAGGCTGGGGCTCGGCAGGGTAATCCTGTCATCCCTGCCCTTCCTGCATAAACCCTGCTCCAGGACCTGCTTCCCGCTGCCGGCAGGGTGCTGCTTCACCCAGGCCCCATGCACACTGCCAGCCTCCATCACCAGCACCCACCACCATCCCTCACTGCCGGCTATGCCAGGCACAACGGGACATCAGGATTTATTGACTTGTAATTTATCTTTGTGCACATGGATGATCTCCAGGCAGGACCATGAGAGCCTTCGCTCCTCAGCCCCTGAGGTGTGCCCTGCCCCAGCTCACAGCTTCCTTCCCTCCAGTGGGGCGGGACCTTCAGCATCCCAAGGAGAACACCCCACCGGGGCTTTGGACCAGGGTACTTCTCCAGGTTCAAAAGAAGCAGCGCAATGGGACTTGCTTTTAGGGAGGCTTCCCTGCCCAGGTACCATCCCTAGGGATGTGGAGAGCTGGGACCACATTCTCAAGCACACTGCCCATGCCATCCCACTCCCCCCTCTGTTTCTTTCATCTATCAGGAGCAGTGGGTGCTGGCAGACACATCCCATGGTGATGGGTGGGCAAGTGACAACCAGCAGCTTTGATGCCAAGTGGTGGAGATGGCGGCTGATGGGCATGACCATGTGTCCATCCTTGCACCACCCTCCACGAGTCACAGCAGATGGGAATGGGGCCCCACATCTACATCACCTGGCATTTCCAAGGGGGCTTCGTTAGTCCATTCTCTTCTAAAAGCTTTTAATTATGGTACTTAATGAGCAGGCTTTTGAGGCAGCATCTCCAGGCAGACACTGACTGGCTCTCCCTGGGGAGGGAGTCTGCCACGTCAAAGCACAACAGCAACACCTGCATTGGACCCCTGGAGCAGCCAGCCACGTGTGAGCCGGAACCAGGGCAGGCAGCATCCTGCCCCACAAAGCCGGTGCTGAGGCAGGAAGCAGCAGGAATCCTGCTCTGCCAGTTCACTGCAGAGAAAACCCTTCATGGGGAGGATGCTCTGGGGTGGGGATGCTCCAGCTCAGGGCTTTCCCCATGTGAATCCTATGTCAGCGATCCTCTTAGGGAGATTTAAATGAGCTCTTAGGCAGAAGTTCTTCCCTGTGAGGGTGCTGAGGCGCTGGCACAGGGTGCCCAGAGAAGCTGTGGCTGCCCCATCCCTGGCAGTGTTCAAGGCCAGGTTGGACACAGGGGCTTGGAGCAAGCTGCTCTAGTGGAAGGTGTCCCTGCCTGTGGCAGGGGTTGGAGCTGGATGAGCTTTAAGGTCCCTTCAACCCAAACCAGGCTGGGGTTCTATGAATGGGTGCTGGTTCCACGCTGCCAAGCAAACCCCTGCTCATCCCTGGCAGTGGTGGGAGAGCCAACAGCAAGTCAGGGAGGGTTTGCATTAGCAGGTTTAGTTCCAAGAGCACAAAACCAGCTCTCAAGAGCAACAGCCTTTCTGAAACAAAAAGGGAAACACGATGGTAAAACAAGAAAGCTCACAGGAGCTGGCAGGGTGACAGCAGGAGTCAAACTTCCTTTTAACCTGATTTTTAGAGGCTGCTCAGGTGCCTTTTAAAACCACAGTGCTTATTTAAAAGGCACTAGCTGGAAATGTCAGCCAGAGTCCCACACACAGACCTCAGGCCCCCAGAAACATCACACAGCACCAGCAGGCTCCCATCACACAGGGGGTGCTCAGCCTCACACCAACGACCACAGGAGAAAAGAGGCCCAGAAAATGCTCTCTTCTGGTGGGTTTCTGAGCACAGCCCTGGCCCAGGCTCCACTGAAGAAGAGGTTTGGAGAGGAGGCTTAGCCACAGTGCTCTTAATCCGGCTGCCCTGACAAACACAATCAGCATCCGATCAGCTTCCCCAGTGCAGCCGGAGCCTGGAGCACCCTGCAGGGCTGGACCAGTGTCCAGGGAAGCCCTTTACTATCAGCACTTCAGTCTAAGGCAGCTGTAGGAGGAAGGGGAAATGGTTGAAGAGCTTCACTAAATCCACTCCCCAGCACGGTTTGGGGGCTGCAGCTTCCCCCTGTCCAGAGCCATTGGCCAGAAACACTCCTTGGGGAACCACTGTACCCCAGAAAGCCAGAGGGGCACTGGAGGGGACGAAACCACGTCTGTCAGCAGCTTGCAGCACTCTTCCTTTAAGCTCCGGTGAGACTTTGCAGGGATGCAATGGGAGGATTAAATATAAGCAAGGAAGTGCAAGCAGATCCGGAGGAGAGGGAAGGATCGGCAGTCCCAGCAGACAGCCACAGCAGGGTTTGATTTATCAGGGTGCAATAGGTCCGGCTGCAGGTGCAAGATGTGAACATCAGGCAGTTCACAAGTCCCAGTTGTCAGATAAATCAACTGTCCCAACCCATCCCAGGGATAGGAGATGAGCTCAAACCTATGGTGTGATGCAGCAAGGAACTGGGCGCGCATCTCCCTTGCACCACTTTGGAAAGGGCTGTAAGGGAGGCAGCAAGCATCCACATGCACGGAGAAGAGACCCCAAGACCTTCCATGTCCAATCCCTGGTTCCAGTAGCTCACAGACCCTCCAACACTCAACCCACAGAGATCAGGCCACATCCTACACACCATAACCCTGCTCCTCATCCCCGAGGGAGAGCCCCATCACACCAGCACTGCTGGGTAATCACCTCATCACCCCCACTCCAGCTCCACTTCCCCACGTAAGCCAGCCCTGGGGGTTAAGCCTGGATGGAGGAGGATTTAGACTCAGGATGCTAAATTGCATTGCCAGCTCAGCGATCTGCAATCTCTTCTGCTCGCTCCAATGCCTCCCTTCCCGTATCTGACCACCACAGTTGGATACAGCCAGCTTGGCCTCACCAACACATCTGCTTATCTCCCACTTGGTCAGCTCTGGGGCCCTCAACACAAGGGGAACATGGACCTGCTTGAGTGAGTGCAAAGGAGGCCACAAAGATTAGACATTAGGACAAAGTTCTTCCCTGTGAGGGTGCTGAGGGGCTGGCACAGGGTGCCCAGAGAAGCTGTGGCTGCCCCATCCCTGGCAGTGTTCAAGGTCAAGGCTGGACAGAGGGGCTTGGAGCAAGCTGCTCTAGTGGAAGGGGTCCCTGCCTGTTGCAGGGGTTGGAACTGGATGAGCTTTAAGGTCTCTTCAACCCAAACCAGGCTGGGATTTGATGGTAAAAGGCTACTGGAAGGTCTAAATTCAGCCAGGCTGGGACCCAGGATCCCAGCAAGGTGACAGCACTCTGCCCACCATGCCTGCTGTGCCTCACACACCTTCACATCCTCACCAGCATCCTCAGCAACCACTGACTGGTGCCCTGCAGCCCCAGGAATCACAACTACCTTTAAAAGATGCACAAAAGGCAGCCAAATTATTGTTATTAATAGGTTTAAGTTCCCTCTAGAGGGAATCCCCTTCATTCCACTGGTAATATTTAGAGGGCTACAGATCTAAAACCACTGAGCTAAGCATGTCTTTAGAGAGGAGATTAATGCCATCATATTATTCAGGAGACAACTATGAGCTGAAGACAGGGGAGCTTGCTTTGAATATGAAGAAGTAACTGGCATGAAAAAGCTGCCTTTAAGCACCTACCTCTGCACTGCTGCCTTTATCAGCTCTGAACAGCAGTGATCCCAACCTCGGCTGGAAACAGCAAAGACCTGGGAGTGCTGGCATGGGAGAAGAGCCGTCACAGGCTGCAAAGGACTGCTGCCTTCCACCCCAGCCAGGGCTGGATTCACTGGCCAAGAGAAGGCACCATCAGGAGATGAACTCCTTTGCTTCAGTACGCAGTGATGCGAGGATGCACGCTGGTACCAAAGCACAGGAGGTAGCAGGTCCCAGCTTCCTGGTGCAGCAGCCCAGGGAGAGGAATCCAGCATAAAAGCTCCAACCAGGGGATTGTCCTGGTGATCCCCATTTACTGAGAGCCCGGGAGAGCCTTTAGGATGGCCCCAACAAGACATGGATGGAGGGATGAGCGGTATGGGCACTCAGATCCCTCCCGCCAGGCTGCAAACCCAGGGGGTCCAGGCAGGGAGAGGGGTGCAGAGCACCTGGAGAGGGGAGTACAAGCAGAAGGGCAGAAACAAGCAGAAACAAGCTTGTCCTGGCCACCCGCTCTCCCCGAGGCTGCCCGTGCACCACAGGTTTATAATGGCAGATAAGGAGCGTCTTAGCTGTAGATTACACGGGCTGCTTAAGTGCTTTGCAAACAGTAGTTACAACATGCCAGGGAGAAAAACACCCTG